AATTTAGCCCGAACAGGCAATAACATTTCACCGTCGTATGTTTATATGACATTACTTTGGTAATCCAGATGTATTGTTACTTTATGTCTCTAGTTACACTGACATAGTGTCTACTATACATCACAGCGTTTTACCAAATTTAATGGCGTTTTAATTTGATGCGCATTACGCTAACAAGTTCATAAATTTCGATCATTATTTTGAGTATTTACTGCACTAAACATTAAAGTGTACAACAACAATGTTTTAATGACCTACGTATTAAAATATATTTTTAAAACTTTTTTATATTAAGAGAACAATTAAAATACAATTTTAAGAATACAAAAAATATAAACAAAGTGTTTCGAATTTTTTATCTACTTTTTTAAATGACATGCCCTGCCAACGCGCATTTTCGGGACACCCTGTATAATATTAGTTACCATAAAACAGCTTTAAAGTTATTGGCTCTATTTTTTAAATGTTGTTTACATCAAAAAATATGTTACGTCAAGCTTAATATACGGTGTCTAGCAAATTGCGGACTGAAAATTTGTGTCAAAATATGTAACATTGTTTTTTATTTTAACTTTTAAAAAGTATTTTTGAAATTATGTTCTAAACTCTATAATATAAATAAATACTATAAAAACATTAAAATACCAAAAATAAAATTCAATTTTGAACGATATTATATTATGAAAACTACCTACTCGTCCGATTTTTTTAATTTTTTTGTATTTAAAATTATAATACCCAGTACAGTGTTGCGTACCGTTTTGAAACAGCCTGTAGGTATATTAAAAATTATTTAACAAATTGTAACAGTTTTTATTTTGTATGTATTTTGCTAGTATACCCTAAATACCATTCTGGAGGTAAATAAAATAGTAAAAGTTTGATAAACGCCATTTTAGTTACGAACTATCTAGGCAATTAAATAAGTTTCTAGAAAAGTTTACTTAATTAAATATTTGTATACATTTGGATGTTGCTCTATACAGGGTGAATCGGAAGGATCGCACTAAACTCTACGACTGCATTCTACACATCAAAATAATATAAAAAAAACTCAACTGTTCTTATCCGATTCTTATTTGTTTTCAAATTATAGCGAAATTTTAAAAAAAATTATTATCTAATATTCTTTGAAAAACTATGGAAACAAAGTTTTCATAGTTATACATATTGTTTACATTTAAAAGGACTAACTGTCAGCGTCAGTGGTATTTTGGAAATTTTTCAGTTTAAATTTTTTTTAAATGCCAAAAGTTTATTCAAATTTAGAGTATGCTAATATGGTTTTTGTTTATGGCTTTTGTAATGGAAATGCCACAGCTGCTGTAGAAGAATATCGGCGACGTTTTCCACGTAAAAGGGCTCCTGACAAAAACGTGTTTATTCGAGTTTTTAACAAACTTTGCGAGACTGGAACTCTTTCAAGTGCTAAAATAACATCTGAAAAAGCTGATCGACAAACTTTAGAAGAAGTGAAAAATATTTTGGATCTAGTGGAAGAAGATGCAACGACCAGCACCAGAAGAATCGCTACTCAATTGGATATTTCAACGGGTAATACACACACTTCACGAGCAAGGCTTATACGCATACCATTTACAAAGAGTACAGTTTCTACACCCGGAAGATTATGCTAAACCTGTTTAATTTTGTCGGTGGGTAACTAACAATCGTAGTTGTATCGCGTATACTTTTTACTGATGAAGCAACATTTACCCGTGAGAGCATTAATAATACGCACAATACGGTTTTAGGTTTTCAGTAGATGTGTGGTGTGCTATGATTTCTGGGTATTTAATTGGCCCTTTTATTATAGAGAATCGCCTCACAGAGGAACACTACCTTAATTTTTTAATAAATGATGTGCCAGGATTACTAGAGAATGTCCCTGTAAACGTTAGAAGGCCAATGTACTATCAGCATGATGGAGCCCATGCACATTTCGCTCGTGAGGTCAAGTAACACTTGGATGAAATGTGTCCAGAGCGTTGGATTGGTCGCGGAGGTCCAATTAGTTGGCCTCCAAGAAGTCCAGATCTAACACCACTAGATTTTTGTTTATGGGGTTGGTTTAAAATAGAGGTTTACAAAATTAAAGTGAACAATCGAGAGGCACTAATTCAACGAATAATTAATACTGGCGCAGTTCTTAAAGAAAAACAAGAGTTAATAGGACAAGGAACAGGCGCTGTTCGCAGACGTAGCAGAGCATGTTTAGAACTCAATGGGGGTATTTTTGAACACCTTATAAAAATTCATAACTATTAAACAAATGTTACCGTTTCATTTTATTTATTTTTTTATTACGCTATGAGAATCGAATAAGAACATTTGAGTTTTTTAAATTATTTTAATGTGAAGAATGCAGTCCTAGAGTTCGGTGCGATCCTTCCGATTCACCCTGTATATATAGAGCAACATCCATAAATCAATAGAGTAACCAGTTAGTAACTGTATTGTTATTAGACTGTAATTTTGACCTTCGATATCCATTAAATGGACGGTTAAACGAAAACAACATTAAAGACCATTTTTGTAGAGCGTAAAATTTCCTGCTTAAAAGTTTAAAGTACCCGTCTGAGAAAATAGTGCGTTATTTTCGAGGTATATTTATATATTTACATTTTTATCGGATTAAAAACATACAATTTAAAAATAACTAAATTATTTTGCCCTTCACCTTTTCTTTTAGTAAATTCAAAACCGTTTCGTTTCATAATTTAATTAAAGTTAACAAGAAATAGAATCCGCAGCAAACAAGGGTATGTGTGTAAAATACATTAACACGTAAGTTTATACTTTAGCGGAATCATGTGCGACGCGCATTGTGCGTGTCAGAGTGCCGTGTGGTAACATATTAAACATTTAAACTACGTAGAATTGTTGTGTCGACAACGTTTAGGACATTGCTTTGCACACCACGTACTTCACCATACTCTACAGAAATACCGAATAGATTCTGTGCACCGAGTCATTTAAACTGGCGTTTATGTGTGATAAAATCTGTCAAAATAGTAAAAAGGTTGCATGAGACGATTTTTTTTAAATTTTTATGTTAGTATGGTACTGGTATTTGCTAACCATATTTAAGTGTTTTGCTTTAGGAACATAAAGGTCGGTTAAAAAATCGTCCCATATTAGACAGAGTATGTTATAAATGAGACAGTACAAGGTTTTATTTGGATACAAGAAAAATAATAGAGATAATTATTTTTATTTATAAAAATCTTAAATTAGCAGTGACGCTCCTCGCCTCGAGGCAAGAGGTCGTGTCTAGGCTCTCGTTTAACGCGTTTATAGTCACATAGTTCTATCACCGCTATCGGTGTTCAAATTTATAAAATCAATCAATTATTCGTGATCTACCAGAACCAAGTGCAAAAATGGTGTAAATTTTGTGTGGCACATCCCCCTGGATTAAGTCCCAGAGTGCTCTACCTCTACAACGAATAATTTTTCCTGGATTACCAACACAGAAAGAACGCGTGCTAATAGTGGGCGGTCGAGGAATACCTTAACGACACCTGCCTAGGTATCATGCACCTTTTCAGGTTCAAGTTCAGGTCTGCATAAACCGGATAAGTAAAGTTACCAAATTTTCATGACCTTAATAATACCCAAATACTAAATTTTAATGCGAAATTTGCAACCTCAACTATACACTGTTCTAAATTTCATGACCATTTTAACACCAAATTAACACCATACATGGTCTATATCGATACAAACCAAAATGGTGTTAAGTATGGTTCGTTGGACCAGTGTAAATTCAAATACTAAAATGGTGTACATTTAACTTTCACACAGTATTAAAATAAATTTTACCTGGTGTAAATTGAACTCCTTTTCAGTGTAAAATATAATGTGTTTTTGGTCAAATTAAATCATACTACACAGAAAAAAAGGAAAAAAAGGAAACAGGAAGTTCCTTGACGCATTACCAGTATATTACAAGTGGTATTATTCCAGAAAATTGAACCTTCAACTCGCTAGAGATAATGTTTTTAGTGCGTTCCACCAACTTAAAATACTTCAAGTATTGACAGCTGTTTCCACCTATTTAAGGTCTCTTTAGTATCGAACAACTTGTAGTGTCACATCAAAGCAAAGGACTACCTGAGCTTATATACTCTTCATGTAAGTCAACAGAGGCGAGATTTAAGAACATCAGGTGATCCACACCGCCTTTGCCGCGATCGGTACACACTATGCAACCAGGAATGCACGGCAAATTGTTTTAATCGTTTTAACAGAGTGCTTTAGCTTAAAGTAACTCTTATTTTACAAACAACATATTTAGTAAACTGAACCATACAGCGGGTTGGTTTCACTAAAGTTTTCTGGGTTAATTTAACCAATTTAAAAAAAAACTATCTGGTTTAGTACCGTCAAACTAATCTTTGTTTATATTATTATATATTATTTGATTTAAATAATTAATTAGGGGTCAACTAAATTAATAATAATAATTAGTTTACAAACTAACTATTCCTTTTTTTCTGTGTAGGTGCACTTCTCAAATATTTTTAGATAAACACCGTTTTGGTGTTTGCTGTATAAAACATTTTCAACCATAATTCATGGTATTATATTAAAACCACTTGGTGTTGGATTTTGACACCATTTTAAGATTACTCTTCACAGCACAGATATTTTAAACAGTGTAGTTATAACAAAAAACTCCACCAGGTAAAAATTACCATGAACACTACATAATAATAATAATAAAATCGTTAAATCTTCAAAAAATACTATAATAAAATAGTGCACATTATAAAAAAATATGATTAATTAATACAAAATCATTCATAAAATAAAGTTTAAATATAAATAAGAAAATACAATAAAGAAATTTTATAAAACAAAAAATGTATTATTGTTTGTTTTTTAACCTTTATTTTTAAAATCTTTTAAAATTTTTCATGGGAGGATAATCGTGTTATACTTTGTTATTAAACAATAACAATAATTTAATATTAATAATTATTTGTTTTAGAATATCAGAAGAAATTTACCTTCACCCTTTGGTTTTGAAATACTGGAAGTGCGATATATTAATAAAACAATAATAAAATGTTTATTTTTACTTAGTTTATTAATAATATTATACATTAAATGTGCTTAATATTTTGGCCAGCAGTAGTTCAACATGGCGTCGATTCGTTCACCTTTTTGCAACCAGTCTACGTTGAATTTGTTTAAGAGACCAGCCGATAAAGCCTCGCTGACAGCTGGGATGTTCAGGGCCTGGTTGATGACACGTCCAAAACTCATCGCAAATATATCGCGTTTGGTGTTGTCCAAGACCAACTATGTTAAAAAATATTTATTTAAATTAAGATCATATTACCTAACTATTACTTACTTCAACATCTCGAATTTTAATGTTAGCTGTTAAGGCATCCAGGGATTGTTGCATACTCTGGGCATTGGTCATGTTCCAGGTTCCAGAAATAGTAGTGTCGATCAAATAAATACTGAAAACATTAATTTAATATTAAAATTAAATTGCAAAATATTTTTGTTACGCTAAAGATTGTATAAACAATACATATTTTAAACAATTTTTAAAACTCACTTTTGTTGTCCTTCAGCGTATTTCCATCCCAAGACAATCAATTCCCAATCGTTCTTGATAACCATGGATTTCCAGGAAATGGTATAGTCAAAGAAAACTCCATTTGGGTTATTTTCTGGGTGAGACACGAGTTCGATGAGTTCAAATTCTGGAATTCCCTCTATTACGGCGTTGTTAATATGTATGTAAAATTTTTCAAAAATGTTTCTGGAAAACAAATTTTAATAATTATTTAGAAAATATGTTCGAATTTTTGAATATTTTATTTTTGGGACTTACGGGATTCCAAAGTTACCATAGGTAAAGTTTACGTTGAGTTTTAGTGGTTCGTGGCTTGGGATATTGATTTCTGGGAGTCCATTAATTAATACATTTTTGACGCATTCGTTGATAAATTTTTTAGCGGCGATCACTTCAGTAGGTTCGTCTAAAAAAATATATAAACATTTTACACAACATATAACAAATTATGTTATTTTTACCAACCTTTCAATGGGCCAGCTGAGGCCAACGCCAAAAAAGCCAAAGCAAAAAAAGTACGCATATTGTCTTAGTTAGTTAATTATCGAAAACAATTTTTATACTATTTTTTTTTTAATTTTAATTCGCAATTTATACTAAAACTGACATAGATAACATGGACGAATCATCAAAGACCAGGTGAGATTGCTTATTTTAAAGTATGAAATTTTAATAGAAAATTAATTTATTTACGATTTAAGATCAGATGATATTTTTAAATTGTTTTTTTATTGACAATGTGAAAAAAATGCTTGGTAATTTAGATAAGATTAAACAAATAAATTAAAATGAAGGGTTTTAAAATAATATTAAAAAATTTTTGAAGATAGATTTAAAATTAGTTTGGAAAAATAAATAAATCGATTTATAAACAAATATATAACTACGAATTTTATGCATAAATTATGAACAAATATTTTCCATTATTGTCGATATATTCGTCAACGACTTGTTAAATTTTAAAGATCACAAATAGTTTTTTATGTTCTATAGAAATGTTTGTATCGATTTAAAAGTATTTAAGCCCTTGGAATCATAACAATTTTAAAATTCCCTAAATTAGGACCACCCTAATGAGAATACTTTGTGTAAGGTCGAGAATTCGCTGATAAGTGAGGCAATTTTGGCGATTTTTCGACTCCCTCCCTCCCCTTGGTGAGATGTCGTGAGATTTTGTCCAACCCATCCCCCCTCCATTAATCTCACGTGAGATTTTTTTAAATGTATAGTTTTAATAAGTAAGTTTAAATAAGTTAATCTGTGCTTGATTTCATAAGATTTATTTAAAAAAAATTTGCTTATAATTTTTTACTTAATTTAACCCTCGTTTTCTCGCAATTTTACACTGTTTCTTTCGAAAAAAAAATTACGTGATATTTGCCGAGACCACCCTCCCCCCACGTGAGATTGAGTGAGGTTTGGCTCGACCCCCTCCCCCCCTAAACACCTCACGTGGATGACCTCTAAGACCGTTGTCCCACAATTATTTAATTAATTAACGAGGTGTCATATTTAATATTTTTTAAAATATTTGTAAGGCTCTTTTCATTTTAAACCGACCTGTATGCAGGTCATGATTTTCTTTTTCTATGAAATTTAAATATTTTTGATTTTCGATTTTTTCTGTTAAACGAAAAACCTTTTTTTAATGCTAACTTGCTAAAAAATTGACAGATTCTGACAATTAAACTACTCTCTAAAAATGAATTAGTCAAAAATTACTAATTTAATAGTTATTACTAATAACTTATAACTTATTAGTTGCTGCTTTTTCACAATTGGCGTCCCCGAAATGTGAACGGCAAAATTTAATCGTGTAATATGGGCTTTGTATCGGTGTCGTCGGTCGTTATCAAATTTGATAATAGTTGTCAATTGCAATATTAAAAATGCCACCCCACTTAGGGGCTCAGAGGTCCAGGGCAATAGCCAAATTAGAAGAAAATTGGTCTTTAAGTGAAGTAGCTGCAGATTTAAATGTCAGTAAAAGCTGCATATTTTATATCAAAAAAGATTAAGGTGTAGGTAAAATCTCCAACGAAAATGAAGACAATGCTCTTGTCGCACATATTAGGCAAAATCCTTTCAATAGCGCAGTTAAGGCCCGAGAAGATACACAATTTCCAGGATCTCTTCGAACAGCTCAAAAAAGATTAAAACAAGCTGGTTTAAAAAACTGTGCTGCTGCTCATAAGGTTTTTTTAACTGACGAAAATAAGCGCAAGAGAGTCCAGTTCGCCAATGACTATTTAAATTATGCACAGAAAAAACGCTAGCATAGCATGAATGGGTGAGCCATTAAACCAATGGGATCTTGTTATCCGTATTCCTGAATAACAGTTCCTATAATACCAATAGGTAGTTAGCACTTGGTTTATAATCGTTTACTGTTTTTAAATTTACAACAAAAGTTATCGCTTCTAAATCTATTGATATTCATATTGATATTTATTTGTTAGAATGGTAGAATGTTATTGCATTAAATACCTACTAATTTAATTTATTTAATAACGTTACTATTGTATGTATACTACATTTAGGCAAAATATTTCCCTATTTTGGTTTAATAGTATTTAATTGAGCAAATAACAATTTAGATTGCTTCAATTTTAATGCATTCAATGACAGCGCTGTTCTTGGTACTATGTTAGATTTTTTTCTGTGTGGAGACGATTTTTGGAAAAATGTTATATTTTCGGATGAAAAAACGTTCCAATCTTGCAATGCATGTATATCGTCCAAGAAACGCAAGATTTGAGGAGAACTATACATTAAGAACCTCAAATAGTGGACGCTTTTCCATAAATGTTTGGGCGTGGATAAGCATCCATGGTCCGGGAGTATGTTGAAAAATTGATGGTAGATTAACGGCTGAGCACTATACGAGGATTTTGGACAACGTTATGCTACCTTCAGTTAGACATGTGTTTCCAGAAAACTTTATATTCCAACATGTAAGAAAACTGTATAGTATTCAAAAACGATTCTAATAAATATTATATTACAGGACAATGCACCAGTTCACACAGCTCGCGTGGTTACAGAGTGGGTAAACATCAACCACATAAATGTTTTGCCATGGCCAGCTAGAAGCCCTGACTTAAACCCCATTGAAAACGTGTGGGGTTTTATAGTTAAAAATATATATCAACGGGACTAGGCCAGCAAACCGAGATGAACTATGGAGTGCTGTTGAAAATTCTTGGGATGAGCTTGCTGAGTCATACGACATGCGTGAGCTAATAATGTCCATGCCAAGAAGGTTGCAAAGGGTTGTGGCAGCTAATGGCTCTGCAATTAAGTATTAAAATAGCTTAGCAGCACAGTTTTTTAAGCCAGCTTGTTTCAATCTTTTTTGAGCTGTTCGAAGAGATCCTGGAAATTGTGTATCTTCTCGGGCCTTAAATGCGCTATAGAAAGGATTTTGCCTAATAAGTGCGACAAGAGCATTGTCTTTATTTTCGTTGAAGATTTTACCTACACCTTGCCTGATAGGTCTTCTCAATCTTTGTTGTTCTTGCCAACGTTTTTTGATATAAAATATGCAGCTTTTACTGACATTTAAATCCGCAGCTATTTCACTTAAAAACCAATTTTCTTGAGCAATATGTTAATTTAGTTATGTTATTTTTATTGTGTATTTACCTACTTGTTAATTTATATTGTTGTATAAAACCAAATTAAAGTTAATTTATTTGTTATATTGTTTATATTATTGTTTGTTAACATATATTATATATATATATATATATATATATATATATATATTATTAAAAAAATAGAACGATTTAGGATATTGTTCTTATTCTTAGTATTCTTCCTTCTATATGTAACACCACTGGCCGAAGCCAGGAATGAACGAATAAATTTTATGAAAAAAATTCATGACAACAAAAAATCGTTCACATTTCGGAGACGCCAATTGTACCATGGTTAACCATGGAATACAATGGTAACCCAAAATTTAACATCCAATTTTTATGTAAAAATTTGCCCTGAATCCGAAAATGAATAAAAAATTATGAAAGTGAAGCAGTTTTTGAAATATAGTCAATTCCATATTAAATAAAATTGACTAAATCTTAAAAACTGTTCTACTTTTTTAACTTTTGATAGGAATTGGCTGTTAAATTTTGCGATACCATGGTATTCCATGGTTAACCATGGTACAAGTGAAAAAGCAGCCACTAATAACTATTAAATTAGTCATTTTTGACTAATTCATTTTTAAAGAGAAGCAAAATATTTGTACTGATTGACACTTTTCATTAAAAGTAACAACAATTTTAAATAAAATATCATAATAAAATAGTGCACATTATAAAAAAATATAATTAATTAATACAAAATCATTCATAAAATAAAATGTAAATATAAAAAGAAAAATACAATAGAGAAATTGTATAAAACAAAAAATGTATTATGGTTTGTTTTTTAACCTTTATTTTTAAAATCTTTTAAAAATTTTCCTAGGAGGATAATCGAGTTGTACTGTGTCATTAAACATTTACAATAATTTAATATTAATAATCATTTGTTTTAGAATATCAGAAGAAATTTACCTTTGGTTTTGTAATACTGGAAGTGCGATATATGTATTAATAAAACAATAATAAAATGTTTATTTTTACTTAGTATATTAATTATATTATACATTAAATGTGCTTAATATTTTGGCCAGCAGTAGTTCAACATGGCGTCGATTCGTTCACCTTTTTGCAACCAGTCTACGTTGAATTTGTTTAAGAGACCAGCCGATAAAGCCTCGCTGACAGCTGGAATGTTCAGGGCCTGGTTGATGACACGTCCAAAACTCATCGCAAATATATCTTGTTTGGTGTTGTCCAAGACCAACTATGTTAAAAAATATTTATTTAAATTAAGATCATATTACCTAACTATTACTTACTTCAACATCTCGAATTTTAATGTTAGCTGTTAAGGCATCCAGGGATTGTTGCATACTCTGGGCATTGGTCATGTTCCAGGTTCCAGAGATAGTAGTGTCGATCAAATAAATACTGAAAACATTAATTTAATATTAAAATTAAATTGCAAAATATTTTTGTTACGCTAAAGATTGTATAAACAATACATATTTTAAACAATTTTTAAAACTCACTTTTGTTGTCCTTCAGCGTATTTCCATCCCAAGACAATCAATTCCCAATCGTTCTTGATAACCATGGATTTCCAGGAAATGGTATAGTCAAAGAAAACTCCATTTGGGTTATTTTCTGGGTGAGACACGAGTTCGATGAGTTCAAATTCTGGAATTCCCTCTATTACGGCGTTGTTAATATGTATGTAAAATTTTTCAAAAATGTTTCTGGAAAACAAATTTTAATAATTATTTACAAAATATGTTCGAATTTTGGATATTTTATTTTTGGGACTTACGGGATTCCAAAGTTACCATAAGTAATGTTTACGTTTAGTTTTAGTGGTTCGTGGCTTGGGATATTGATTTCTGGGAGTCCATTAATTAATACATTTTTGACGCATTCATTGATAAATTTTTTAGCGGCGATCACTTCAGTAGGTTCATCTAAAAAAAATATATAAACATTTTACAAAACATAAAAAATAATGTTATTTTACCAACCTTTCAATGGGCCAGCTGAGGCCAACGCCAAAAAAGCCAAAGCAAAAATAGTACGCATATTGTCCTAGTTAGTTAATTATCAAAAACAACTTTTATAATATTTTTATTTTTATTTTAATTCGATATTTATACTAAAACTGACATAGATAACATGGACGATACGATCAAAGACCAGGTGAGATTTTTAAAGTGCTTATTTTATGATATGAATTTTCAATGGAAAATTAATTTATTTACGATTTAATATCAGATGATATTTTTAAATTGTTTTTTTATTGACAATGTGAATTTAAATTGTTGCTTAAGGACTTAAAGATAAAATTTAATTTAGATAGGATTAAACAAATAAATAAAAATGATGGGTTTTAAAATAATAATAATAAATAATATTAAAAAATAACATTTAGTAGATGGATTTAAAATTAGTTTAAGGATAAATAAATAATTTGATTTATTAACATTAACTTTACTTACGAATTTTATGCATAAATTATGTACATTATATTCCATTATTGTTGATATATTTGTCAACGACGTTAAATTTCAAAAATCAAAAACAGTTTTTTATGTTCCATATAAATTTTGTTATTGATTTAAAAGCATTTAAGCCCCTAGGATCATTACAATTTTAAAATAGGACCACCCTAATGAGAATACTTTGTGTAAGGTCGAGAATTCGCTGATAAGACCGTTGTCAAACTAGGGGTTGTCGGCTACTAAGAGTACGAGGTACTGAAATTTGTTTATAATTTCTATTGGTTAAAATATTTCTATTTTAAGCCTATTTACTGAACGCATCACAGGCCAATTCGTGATTTGGATTTTTTAATTCTTTTTTTAGGGTTAAACTAATAGAGAATATTTTTTTTATTTCCATCCCCCGCAATTATTTAATTAATTAACGAGGTGCCATATTTAATTTTATTAAATATTTGTAAGGCTCTTTCCATTTCAAAATGACCTGTATACATATATGCATATATGCATATATGCGCAGGTTATGATTTTCTTTTTGTATGAAACTTAAATATGTTGTTTTTTAGTCAAAATATTAAGACACTTATTTTCGATTTTTCATTTTTTCCGTTAACCGAAAAAGCTTTTTTTTAATGCGTATAACTTGCTGAAAAATTGATGGTTTCTTACAATTAAACTAGCAAAATGTTTGTACTGATTGACACTTTTCATTTAAAGTAACAAAAATTTTAAATTCATTGTGATACTTTTTTATATGATAAAATGCGAAAAGTAAAATCAGTGTATTTTTTAATTTTTTTTTTTGACAAAAACTGAATTTCGGCCAAGCGAATGTTATCCAAAACTTTTTGTTAAGAAGATATGATTTTTTTTAATTACTGCTTTTTTCCTTAACGGTTGCGTGCTGCTCAATAAATTTGATTTTTAGAGTGAGTTTCATGTGAAATAGTATCACGTAGTATGAGTTGTGTGATTTAATTGTTGTAAAACTTATTAATACAATAATACAAACATATAGTACATTAGGTTAAGTTAAAAATGTGTAGCCTTGTACATGCACTGAATGAATATGGAATATAAAATTTCATCATAATATATTGAATTATTATTTATTGTGGAACTAAAAAATTCATAAAATAGGAATATGCTTTATTATTATTAACAAATAATCATAAAATAACCGTACATTTCTAGATACTACACTCGTGTTCGCACGTTCTTGCACTATATTTTTATTTATGTCTTAGTTCAATTTTCCACACATGGGTATCTTGAATGCCCTTATACGATCGTGCCTTTTTTCAGATCTTTGTCTTTTTATCCCGAAAAACACCAATTCTTGAGTGTCAAGCAAGAGATGTTTAATCTTTGGCGTTTTAATCTGCACTTTTTCAACAAACGACTTTGCACATTGAATATATTCAGTAGGATCATTGGTTAAATAGTGCAAAATTTAAAAAAAATTGCTGGCAGTGCATGTGCTGTCGTGCTACAAATCATTAGTTATTACAACGAAGTATTTTGACCAAAATAACAAACTGAAATGTGAAAATGGATAGAATAGAATTTTATGTTCACCTAGCTAATGTTTTAATAAATATATTGATTGATGCAAAATGTGTTTAATTTCGAATGACCGATCTTCATATCCGGATGGTCGCGCTTAAATATTTCTTTTGTTTTATGCAGGCTACGAGACATAAAACGTTTCACTTTGACAATTTTTTCACCATTCTCATAAACATTGATAGAATCTTATATAAACATTGATAGTATCTTATATATTGGGACTTTTGGGGGAGTAATTTAAATCATTATTCGAATAATACTCAAGTACGACCTTTTGGATATTTTCATCTATAGGATGCCCTATAATCAGGGGAATTGTAATTTCCATTATCTTTGACAATTTTTGTAACTTTTCTGACCATGTAATTAGTCACTAAATTCAATTTCCTGCGAAAAAATATGGATTAATGCAATAAAATGCATAGTTTAAAAGATAAAGCACTTAATAAATTTTATTGTCAAATATTAATAAACTAATTAATCCCATGTTATTTTACAGCCCAACGGTTAAAGGTACAGATAAAAAAATACTTATAGGAAATTTAATTTCCCACAAAAATAGTTTAATGCATTAATACGAGGTGTGTTCAGAAAATATCGGTAATTTTCGTTTTTTGAAACAAATATTTATTTATTCGTCTACATTAATGTTGACGCCTTCAAAATAGTCCCTATTGGATATTATGCACATGTGCCAGCTCTTCTTTCAATACTCGAAACACTTCTACAACTCGATCTTTGGGATAGCCTTTAGTTCTTTCAGCGATGCGCTTTTAATGTCATCTATGCTTGCAAAACGACGGCCCTTTAAGGTTCTCTTTATTTTTGGGAATAGGAAAAAGTCAGACAGAGGCATGTCTGGCGAATATGAAGGCTGGGGCATCCTTACAGTATTGTTTTTGGCCAAAAATTTTGTTCAAAAATTAACAATTTTGGAACAAATTTTGCTGCCACGCGTTTCATACCCAAAAAATTCGAAAAAATTTCATGGGATGAGCCAATCGATATACCAACATTATCAGCGACTTCTCTAATGGTTTATAACCATTTCTTTCACTTTTTCCATGTTTTTATCGGTTGTTAATGTGCTTGTGCATTCGGGGCGTTCGTCATCTTCAACGTCTTCACGGCCATCTTGGAAACTCTTATACAACTTGTAAACTCTTGTTTTACTTATAGCAGACTCACTATATGCCTTTGTTCACATTTCACAGAATTTATTTCATTTTTTAAGCAAAATTGGATACAAATTCTTTAATCCATTTCGTTTAACGAACGAAAATCGCCGAGCTCATAAAACACGTCTAACCTTAGCGGCTGCCACAGACAAAGTAAACAATGAAAACAGGTAAAGTTTTGATCATACTTTGGGGGCATGTATACCAACATAATAAAGAAAATTTTATGACAACCGGACCCTCCGAACCCGCGAAATTTAACAATTCCCGTTATTTTCTGAACACACCTCGTACAATAAAATGTATAGTTTAGAAGATATAGAACATTTAATAAATTTGTTCTAGTCCCACCTTTAAAACGCCCATTATCGTACATATTTCCATGACACTAAGTAATATTTTAAATACATTGACAAGTTGTGGCTTTATGGCACTTTAGTCACGGCCTGCAGTTAGTTTTAAGTTAGTTGACAGTTGTAAAATGTAAAAAATGGTAATTTAAATTCCATGGTGCAAAAAACATTAAAACATTTTATTTTTTCATTTGGTAGTCAACCCCTCTTAAATCTTGGGTTTTGGTTTATGAGACGCCATAAAATATAATAATTGTGTCGTCAGCATAAGAAACCATAAGTATATTTAAAACAAAAAGATCCTGCTAGTTCACTCGTTTTATCTCCTATTTTGACACATTGATTCCTCTCTTTTAAATAGTTTTCTATATTTCCATGCTATACTTTTTGTGTGTAATGGTCAGGCATTTAAGAGCTTTTTGAAGTAAACATGGTAGACAGATGGATAATTTAGATATGCTTTCAAATAAACAAAGGTTTTTACCTGAATATGACACGAATTAACATATATTTTAATATATAATTTAATTAACAAAGTAACAGACTTTTATACACTTTTACTAAATGCACGCATAATTCACTGTTAATTTAAATTAATTAAAACAACTAACAACGCGTATCCCCTTTCTAGCACATTATCTGAGAAATAAATGCTTGACTGTATTTATAACCTTTTAACATGACAAAATTATAATCAAACGTTAAAATTATTATTTTGCAATTTCACATAATTACAACAACACCTCCTCGAACATTTTGAACGCCCTTTGTTACTTTGATTCCGCTCTAAACGGATACTGAATTTGTTTGAAGAGGGTAAACATCGTTAGGATTATAATAAATTGTTTTTACACCCTCATTTATACTCGCATGTGACGTTTTATAGCCTGCTTTAATTGAATATTTTACTTTTAACTAGATTCTTTAAAACATAAAATAATGATAAAATTGCAAATGAACCACGCATACAGGGTGGAAATCTTAAGTGGAATAAATTCTGTATTTTAAAAACCACTTACTTTTTTAAAAAATCCAAAAACAGGTCAATTTATAAATTTACCTGGGTAAATTGTGGTAAATCTTGAAAATATAAGAAACCACCCTTTGAGGGTGTAACCAACCGTAACTTTTTTTTTCAAATGCAAAGGTATATCAAGTGATACATCATTTGAAAGCTCTTTTTAATTGGAATTTATACAAATATGCAATTTTTAATTATTTTATTTTGGTAACTTAAAGAAATTAATACTTTTTTTATATCCACCAAAAACGTTGTATATTCAACCGAAAGAATGTATTTTAGTTCTTTAAAATTAGTTGCAAGTCACGTGTTTTAAATTGACGTAAAAATGTCTTATTTAACTAAAACTTTGCGTATTGAAATTCTAATGATGATTGGATTTGGTGATAGACGTCGAAATCAGACAGAAGTTGCACGATTATTTAACGAAACGCATCCAGAATTGCCTCACATTTGCCAAGGGACTGTTAGTAAAGTAAAAGCAAAATATCACGAAAATGCTAATGTAAGAAATATTCCTAGACAACGCCAGCCTATCGTTGAAGACAATACGAAGCTTAATGTACTATTAGCAATCCAAGAAAATCCTGTTACTTCAGCTCGACAAATTGCTCGCGAGAACGATTT